TACTTTCTGAATTTAGGGTTTTGTTTTCTGTTTCTTCGACTTTGGGCTGCTATGTCTTCCGTGTTGCTACTGCTTCTAGTGTTCGTGTTTGATCTCATAGCTTTTGGTCTTGCCGTCGCTGCAGAACAGCGAAGAACCACCGTCAGTCTCTCCCTCTCTGTTGTATTTACTTCTTCTCTCATTCAGTCATCAACTGTGATTGCTCCAACATTTCTCGTAAATTTGATTTGATTGTTCTTGTTTGTTCCGCTTTGTGCGTTTCTCTCAGTTTCCACCTTACTGGCTCTATGTGATTAGGATTACTCTAAGTTGGGTTCTTCAAAAATTCTGGACTTTTTGGAATTCGATTGGTTTCGTTGTGAGCTTCATAGAAAGCTGAAACATTTGGGGAGTAATTGAGAAGATTAGAGGCAGAAATTTCCAACCTTTCTTTGATAGCCAGAGAAAGCAATTGAAAGAGATAATGTCAAAAGTTGAGTGAGATATGTTATGTTTTGTTTGACAGTGGCAAGTTGTTAGAGAATCAAGAGATTCAAGCTACTGTGTGTATGAAAAAGATATCGCCACGGGTCTTGGAATCGGTTCTTTCCTGGTCTTATTGGCGAGTCAGCTCTTCATAATGGTGGCGAGCCGATGTTTGTGCTGTGGAAGAGCCTTGACACCAAGTAGGTCTAGATCCTGGGCTATTGTTCTCTTCATCACCACCTGGTAAAATGCTCTTCTCTTCCTGCAGATTACACTCTTTATCTTATTACTCTTAGTCGGTATGCAAGTAGAACGAATTAGCTGAAGTCCGGTATGCGCTAAGCTTCTACGATTTGTAGATGTAATAAAACTCAAACCAACCGTAAACTTCTCTATGCATATGGAAACTTGGATCAGCTAATATTGTGCATCTGCTAGAATCAATGGAGATTTATATACTTAACTTTCCTTGACTCCGAAACTACTCACCGAACTCTTAAGATCAAAGAATTAAACCTTGCAATAGGTTTTCTGTATCTGTGGTTGATTGTTCAATTGGCTTAAAATTGGGAAACATCACTTTCCATCTGCTCTAATTTCAGTGATTGTTGGCTAACTTCAAAAGATAACTTGTGATGACCTTTGCTGCTATAAATGTCATATACTTCAATGGATTAGGATGACTGTTGCAGGGTCTTCTTCTTCATAGCAGAGGTGTGTTTGCTTGCGGGCTCCGTGCGAAACGCTTACCACACAAAGTACCGTGTCTACTTTGGAAACACTGCTCCTTCTTGTCGATCGCTGAGGAAAGGAGTCTTTGGAGCTGGAGCTGCATTCGTAGTACTCACAGGGATTGTCTCGGAGCTTTACTACGTCACCCTTTCGAGGGCCAAAGACTTTGGGGCTCCTAGAGACCCCGGTATACGAATGAATAGCCTGTAGAACTTATACCCTCATTAGTTGATTTCGAATTAGCAACCTTTTAGGCCATTGTTGTTGTGATCATATTGTCTGAATGAATGTGCTCTTGTTTGTATATGAGATATATATATAGCACTTGTTCTTGGAGATTATGTTTTGTGTGGTTACAGACCAGTTAGCCTATGGTCATGAGAACTCAAGTCCAGTATCAGGTTAATGTAAAGACGGATTTACCCCTGATATTTGCAATGAATAACTAAACAACCAGACTTCTAATGTACACAATACATATTTGCCTATTTGTACGGCTCCTCAAAATGGCAGATAGATCAGCAAATCTGTGTGCTTCACAACACAGACAGGTTTGTCTTTTGTCACTCTCTCGTGTGGAAGTTTACTTTACATGTTTTTTCTTTAACTAAAATTTACAGAAGATGCAAGAATCAGACATGAGTTGATGAATGATGCTTCCTTCTTCAATCCTAAGCTTCTTACTCTCTCTGTTCCAAAGATGAACAGCAAAACTATGTCTACGTAAATGCGTAAGCCTCTTCCGCGACCATTTCGCCTCGGTGTCATTCGCGGGCGCTCTGTAAAATCCTCTGATTCTAGTCCAATCCACCGGATAAAATGCAGACGGTGGAAGGACAGAGAATCCCAAGTCCGAGGAAGAGGATGAAATGTTGATTCTTGCAATAACTCTCGACACTAAGTATGGACCGTTGTGACCCCATTTGTTACCGTTGAAGGATCTTGAGAATTCGTCGATGAACCTTTTAAGCAAAGGATGGTTCTTGTCGAAGATGAGCACTGCGTTGTTGAGCCTGCTCCATTTTCTTGTAACCGGATCAACTGCTTGTGCTCCGATTACGTTGTGTAGATTGGTGAGAGATTTGAGGATTATAACATCTGTGTCTAAGTAGATTCCGCCGAATTTGTAGAGCAAGACTAATCTTAAAAGGTTAGAGAGGTTTTGCTCTAATGGAATCACTCCTGGACTGAATCTCCCTTTCCTTAACCCTTCAAACCATTTCTCTGCTGATGTATCTTTGAAGATGTAAGCGAAATCGGGTTTAATTGGAAGCACTTTAAGCCCTTTATCTGTAAAGGGTTTCAAGATTAGGGCTCCTCTTTCACAGTCAAGTGAGTTTGAGATCAAGATCAAACAGCTATTTGGATGAGATTTGAAGAGACTCTCTATGGTGAATCGTTCTCGATCACCGAAAGATTCGATGGATGAGATCCAGGTCATGAAGAACAATGACTCGCATGAGGATTTAGACAAGAATGACTTGACCCTAGTCTTGAATCTTGGCCTTGATTTGCCTTGGGACCGTTGTGTTATCGCGGAAGTTAACTCGATTCTTCTCTTCAATCTCCTCGTTCTTCTCTCTGTCCTAGCTGACGAAACGTTCTGCTTCCGTACAAACCCTAAAGAGGTTTCTTTCACCACAAGCAACAATGAAGAATCTGACTC